TTGTACCAATATTACGCTGCATTAATTGCTGTCTTTATAACAAATCACAAATTTTGTGTGGTACATCTTTGATAGCTTTTTTTCAAGAGTATTTGCCTATTCCTGGTCCTTCACGCTTCTATAAATATTTAAGAATCAGTTTCTACAGTTTATTAAAAAATAACAATATCCTGAGATTTTAAATAAGATTGCATTGAAGTTAATGATAAATTTGGGGAAAAGCCTGATTTCTTTACAGTACTGACTTACTCAATGCACGCACACTGCATATTCCTCCCTTCATTTTGGTTTTATTTATTCTTAACAATGTTTTACAAAAGAGGTTCTGCACATTCTATCCTAAATGTATTACTGAGTATTTGGTATTATTGATACTGTCACAATCTCCATCTTTTAAAAACATTTCATATTTGATTTTTTTGTTGTGGGTACAGAAAAATACAATTAACTTTTCACTGGCTGCGTCCCTCAGTACAATAATGAATACAAGTGGTAATAGTAGACATAATAGTTTTATTTTAGGTTTCCAAGAGAAAGTTGTCTGTATTTCACCATTAAGTGAGGTTTGTCGATAGACTTTTAAAATAGATCTTCTTTGTAACAAACTTCCCTTTTTACTTCATCTTGCTGAGTTTTGCCTTTTCAATTATGCACAGATGTTGACATTTACCACCAGTTTTCAGCACCAGTTGAGATGATCATATAATTTCCCTTTTTTCTTTTTTGATTTAGCATATTACCTTGTATTCCTAAACTTGTATAAGATTGGCATTATTTCTTAAATATTTGGTAGAATTCACTAATTTTATCTGAGCCCAAAGTTTTCTTTGTGAAAAGGTGTTTATAAAATTCATTTTAGTTGATATGGGACGATTCAAATTTCCTTTTATTTTTTGTTTGTTTTTAACAATTTGTTCATTTGATATAATTTTCAAATTTATTGGCCTAAGGTTGTCCATATCTTTTTCCTAATTTTAATCTCTATAATATCTGTGGTGATATCCTGCTATGTTAATTCTGATACATGCAAACATAGGATTATACTACATTTAGTTATATAGCTTTAATTTTTACACAGCAGATCTTGAAAAATGATTCATGACATCACATATTCTTTTATCGCAACATTTAGAACTTTTTTTATGTAGTGAAACATATTTTTCAAATAAAATCTTAGTTATCTTCTAATGTAGAAAGAGAACAAGTGAAGATACCCTAATTAAAGCAAGATAGAGACTGGATCTCCCAAATACTTGGTCTCTCTTTTGTTTTAGAGGTCTCTCCTGCTTGAAAATTATTGTTCTGTGTTATAAATGACTACATACACATGTATGTACAATCTAACTACCCCTCCATTGTTAGATACGCTTCTAGCTCCTTGGAGATCAATTTTTGTGCACACCTTTGATTAATGCTTTAGGGCTAATTCCTTGAAATGCAATTGCTGGGTTCAAGGTTAAGTACAGTTTCAAGACTTTGAGATTGTATCGATCGAGTGCTGTTTAAAAAAGTCGTACCGCTGCTGCCAGTGGTAGGATATGACAGGGTTCTAGAACCCCCACACCCGTATCGTTAGATATTATCACCGAGTATTTTAAATATTTAAAAGAATTTTATGCAGTCTTTAAAGATGACAATTAGGATCTTTAACACCTGGGAAAATATGACAGTAGTCGAAGCAAAAGGCAGACTACAACTGCACATTCAATCAAAGATAGGGAAGTGACAGTCTTGTGGGCATTTTTCCTCTTTGTCCCCCAATTTTTTTCATTACAGTTTTATAATATGAGTAAAGAAAAAAATTATTCCAGAACGCAAGAGGATTGGCCTGAGTTAATTTTGAACAGATTTAAGCCACTCTAATCATTTTAAACAAAAAGAAATTTAAGATAGGAAAGTGCTTTACAATCTCTGATGTGAAAGGCCTTTAGAAATGATTTTCAGGACAATGCCACAGAACTGCCAGACAAGGGAACAGTCAGGAATCCGAATTCAGGAAACTACCACCCCAATGGCTGAATCCAGGATCCTGTGCTCCTAGTACCACGAGGTGCAGAACACACCACCTCATCTCTCAACACTCGACTCTGTCTTTGTGATAACTGGCCTCTGAGGTGCTCCCAGCGACCCTTCCTGGTTATTCGTGTCCTTGTGTGTCTGTTTCCACAACGAATCAGGAATGGACTATATGACCCATCGATTAGAACTCAGCAGACAGGACAGTGTGTGGCATCTAAGAGTAGGTCCTAAGAGGCATTGTAGCCTCTACCGGGCCCCTGGGATCACTAGCTTTGGGGGAAGCCAGTTACCACACTGTGAGGATATTTGAGCAGCTCTGTGAAGAAACCCACGTGAGAGGCTCACAGGCTTCCTGCCCGTCTATGGCCATGTGAGGGAACCGCAGTGGAAACAGACTCTTCGGTCCCAAGATGAGCAGTCTCAGTTGATTTGACTGTCATTTTGTTAGGGTTCTGAGCCAGAGCTGCCCTGCCAAGACACTTCTGAATTATCTGACCATGGAAACTGTGAGAATAGCTGACTCTTTTTTTTTTAAAGCTGTTACATTTTGTTATATAGCATAACTAGGACAATATTTATAATCTTCCACCCAATACACAGCTCTCCATAGTCTGCCTCTTTTCTTCTCCTTTTTACACTCTTTTCATAAAACAACTAAACTAATAGCAAACAAATAAATAAATAGTTAATATTATTCTTTCCTTTTTTCCTCTTGCCAGTCCTCCAAAGTCCAGCTCAATCTTCATCTCTATGAAGCTTTTCTTGACTAGGATACTTTGGCAGTTTTTCCTTTGGTAGCTCGTCATTGGTACCTTGGAAGTAATTATTTACTGTCCCATATCATTTGTCATTATTTCACATATACTAATTTGTGAGGATAAAGATAATGTGAGTTTCTTCTGTTTCTCACAGCACGTAGAGTAATGCCACACATGTAGAATCTACTTCAGTGAAATCAGTTCATTTTTAATAGGCCATCATCCACTCAAATAAAAACCTGAGAAAGCAGTACTTTCTTCTTAATCTGAATTCTAGAATTATTTCTTTGTCCAACGATTGGAATAAGCAACCTCCAGACTCATCATTTTTACAGTTGATGAAAAAATACTTTTAGAGGTATATAGTATATGTTTTACATACAAAAGGGAAATTTAAAACAGGAATAATTAAATAATACAACCCAAGTGGTAGCAAATGAAATTCTATTCTCTGTAGCATATTATGCCCCATCCAGCAAGAACCCAATAACCTTTCTGTTCCTCTTAGCATGCTGTTCCCCTCATCAGAGACGCCAATTTAATGGTTCCCGAAAGACAAAAGAGTTATGGCCACCGGAAGTGGAAACACGTTTTATTGTTAGTATATGGCTTCAGAAAGTCATCAACACTTTAATTTCAGAAGAGAAAAAAATTTTGGCATAGAGACTGCCAATACATTCAAATTAAACCTTAAAAATATTGCTTGGTATATGTGTAAGAGGCATTCAGATTAATGAATTAATACCTGTATCAGTCAGGTTTCTTCAGAGAAACAGATCAATAGGATTGATCCATCTATCCATCCACCCACCCATCCATCCATCCATCCATTGGAGAGATTTATTTTAAGGAATTGGCTCATACAGTTGTGGAGGTTGGCGAGTTTGCAGTTTGTAGGCAGGATTCTACATTACAGCCTGAAGGCAGAATTCTTTCTTCTGTGAGAAACCTGTTTTTACTCTTAAGGCCTTCAGCCTTGATTGGATGAGGCCTCTCTACATTGTGGAGGATGATCTGCTTTACTCAAAGTTGATGAAGTATAAATGTTAATCACATCTACAGAAAGCTCCACAGCAGCATCTAGACCAGTGTTGGAACTACCACACGGGCACTGTCGCCCAGGCACTACGGCCTCACTAAGTTGATACATTAACCATCAAAATTCCTTATTTGAGAAAGTGGGTTATTTTGAGGGATTTGATTTCTTTTCTGTACCACTATGTATCTTATAGGTTGAGTATTCAAAATGTTCTGAGCATCATTTGTCACAAAATCAGAGACACGTTATACTGGGAGTTAATCACCAACGTAATCCTTAGTAGCAGTAATAAAATCCTGTCTAGTGAAGTATAGAAATACATCTTAGAAACTTGATTTTCTATAGGTGTTCATTTATTTTATTAAGAAAATTTTTTGTAACCTTAAAATGGGGATTCTAAGGGAGGAGTGTTATCCATCACAACAGTTAATAAAATGCCTCCCCTCAATGACTCAGCTTTTAAACACGCAATAACACATTCACAAAACTGCCAAGTTATTCTCCATAAAACTCCAAACAAAACTATAATTCAAAAGGTGTTTATCAGAGAAAGAAGGTTCTTTTTCCAAAGAAGTTATATGTAAATATCCAGAAATTTCACCATTTACAAGATGATAGGAAGACAGATGAGGAGAGAATGATCCCAGAGAAGATAACCTTGCTCTCCCCAAACTTCCCAAATATGATTTAATGAGTCAGAGCTATAAAACTCTGGGCTGGGTAGGTCAAAGGAGTGACTTAGAGTAATTCTTGGGGTTTTATGATGTACTAAAGGTGTTTGAAAACTCTCGTAGAAATGAAGAAGCCCAGCTGCTTATTTTCCATCATGTTTTATTTATAAAAAACATATTTTCTGATGGTAAAGGTTGCATGTGTATCCTTATTTGTTGACCTTTTCACTCAACAAAAGGCTGGTAGCACTGGCTAGATGGGAGGAAAAACAAGGACACAGGCACATGGCAACAGTCTTAGAAGCTTTTCCTATTTAGTGAGAGAGTGACTATTGTCTATTAGCATAGTTTAGTGGCACCTTTGTTGCAGAAAATGAGTGACCCTAGAGAAGGAGGACTGGAACGTATAGTTAATGACAGGATTGGATTTTTGATTTAAAGACTCTAAGATGAGTTGAAAATATAAATTTATATGTCTTTACTGGTTCACAACCTCAGTGTCCAAAGTGACTATTTAAGGTCTTGAAAGCAAATTGTTTGAAAAGTTTTATTTGGCAGCAGAAAATATCTACAATTAGATCTTTACAAAAGAAGATGTGAAAAAGGGGCGAAATAAATTATACATAAGATTTTGCTGTTGAAATTTGGGGTAATTATCAACAATTGATTTGGGATACAAGAGCTCACACAAAGCCATGTGTTTTTAAAGGAAGCAGAAGCTAAATTGTTGAAACTCATAATAGACATTATACTGAACCTAAAAAAAGATAAGTCTATGTAAGAGAAGACAAACTAAATTATTTCAAGCTGTAGTAATACATATTTAGTTAGACTAAAATCAATTATCTCCACAACCTGACAATTGATTTTTCATCTTATCAAGTCCATGATGTCTACAATATTCATCTAACCATGGCTTTTTATCTCATAGTTTTCAGTATTTTAAATTATGTACAGAGTAACATGTATCAGATGTATTGACAATAATTCTTATCCAGGGATATGTCTCTTTCTCTGCGTATCCACTTGATTTGGTCATATATATAATCTCTGTCATGGACCTAATTACTTATCTTAAAATGGAGGAAAAGACCTATCAGAATGACCCAATAATAAGAATATGAGGCAGCGGGGTGGAGGTGTGTGTGGTGGTGGTGGTGGCATCTATTGTTCTAAAATTCCAAAGACTTTGCATTTATTCAAAATACTAATACCAGTATTTTTAGTGGGCCAAATAAAGAGGCACTAAAAGTATTTGGAAGGATTTTAACATTTAACAAAATATAAAAAAATACAGATTTCACTAAAGGGAGAAAGCAGATGACCTCCCACTAGCAGAAAAACACTGGTGTTCACTTTCCAGTTCAAATGCATTTACGAAGATTGTGACCCCCATTAATTAAATATAAAGAGTCCAGGAGAAATTATGACTTACGACCTTAATGTATAAGTATAGCAGTATTTCTATATCAAATTAAATTTAGTCTATGATTAGATATAGTGCTATATATACACATACACACTCATAGTACCTTTATGGGCTTCTCTAAAATGCTCATAGTAGCTTATATGGTACTGGTAGAAATAAAGATGAAAATGTATAGAGTGTATATAAAAACCACCTTTTATAGCTTACTGATACCCTCTGTGGGTTAAATAGCTTATATTATTCAAGTGTGAATTTTGATTTTTGAACACAGAACTGTACTTTGGTATTCAAACCTTCATAAAATTTTACAGCTTTTCAAATAAGGAATAAAAAGTAGAGATCAAATAGGTAGGAGAAAAAGGCTTCTGATTTGTAACATAACTGTCACGTGGTTAACCAGTGGTTTTCAACACAGGGCTGGCCAAAACTCAGCTTCGTGGAGGTGATTAGGGGTATTAAAAGGGTGTGATCTAAATTTTGTTTTAGCAAGTACTTATTTAAAAAAACTTAGTAAAAATGCACATTCTAATCTGTTACATACCCCAATTTTACCATACTGGAAACTGCTTGTGTATTAACTTCTACTACCAGGTAATGTATCTTTATGTGAACCTCGGACTACAACTTCAGCTATTTCTAATTAAAGAAGCTCCTGAGATATGTGTTTAAAACCTGTTATTTTTATTTATTTATGTCTGTGTGAATCAAAATTTTCTTAATAGTATGCAAATAAAATGAGGTATAAAACTAAATTGGCTGCTAAAGTTTTTCAAACTATCAATAACCCCAATTTCATATCTGTATTATTCAGAAATTTTATTCTTAGTGATGGACTAAAAAAAGTAACATAAATATGAACTCAAAATACATTTATACTGATAAAATTAACTTTGCAGTCTTTATGTATTGGGGTCACACAAAATTTTATTTAGGAAAGTTTCTAGTTCTAAAAAATGTTTGGAAAATATTGGTCTATAAGAAATTGTCTTTAAATTTAATTTAATATAATGTTTCACATGATTTTGTTTTCTGAAACAAGCTGCTGAATACATTTCAATTCTTAAATTACCTTGCATAATGGGAATATTTCTACACATTAGAGTGCTGCAGACATTCAAAAATGGTGAGGAGAAATTATACTAGAAGTTTCAAGATTGTTTTAGACTCTTCTAATAGGCAGCTTTAAAAAAGATTTCTATTTTTTGAATTAACAATATATTCATTGTGTTTGTTCTAAATCTCAAAATATGTTCATCTTCCATGTAACACAATTTAGTATTCTCACATACCAACTGTGCTGTATGTTTTGAATGTTTAGGCCGTTTCAATGATTTTAGATTTTATTTTGTGTTTTCATTATAAAACAGCTTGTGCACGCGAAACTCAAACAATCTTTTTTATTTAAAAATCCACCTCAAAATTCACTTCTGGGTTTTAGTTTTTGTTTAAAAAGAAGCAAACATTTAAAAGCATCAAGCGTTACTAGTCTACAAGTCATTTTGTTATGAATGTTTTTCGTTTGCTAATTGGGGAAATAAACCCATTACACTGATTAGGCACAGTACTATGGCCAAGAGGCCAGAAATGAGGGCACATATGTGTACTCAGGCAACAGTTAGAGGTCTGAATGGAGGGAGTCATGCCTCAGCTGTGGGCACTCCTATCTTTGTGCCCCTCCAAAACTATTAATAAATCTCAAATCAACACATCAAGGATTGTATGTCACTTAGTTACGCAAACGAACAAACAATTATACCTGCTTTCTAAATTATGTAGCAAAGCCAAGACAGAAAAATATAATTGTAGCCTCACTAAAATTTGTGGTCTCGATATCCCCATGTCACAGGAGAGACTGTATGTCGTTTAGTTAAACAAACAAACACACAACTATATCTGCGTTCTAAAATATGTAGCAAAGCCAAGACAGATAAATGTAATTGTAGCCTCACTAAAATTTGTGGTCTCAATATCCATGTCACAGGACCATGTTATAGGTGATTTCAGAAATCTGGTTTCAGAAATCTGGTTGGCAGAGATCCATGATGATAAGACTTCACATTATAGCAAGGCTCCAATATTTCTTGAATTGGGGCAGTGAATATAAATCACAGTACAAAATCCTTAATTCTTTTACAGGAAAAGCAACAGGTGCTACATATGTGAATCATTTATATAACATCTATTTTTTTAAAAAAATGCAGATATAAAATATTAATTGCATAAGGATTTAAATATAAGGCCAAGGAGAATATTAAGTGAAGTTAAAAAAATCACAGAAAGGGCACTATGGTGTCAAACATAGAATTTCCTTCTTAGAGTAATAAATCTGACTTACTGTCTAATTAAAAATCACAGTATGTTGCTATAACTAACAGTGAATGTTAACTGTTTCATTAATTCCAAATTGGAAACCAAATATTAGACTAACATGAACACAACTAAAGTTCACTGTCTAAACCTGATCAGTGTATTAGCACATCAGTGCTGGGTACGTACCTGATTAGTTAAATAAACTACATTTTGCAAATAATGTCAAGTTTAATAACATGTTAACACGTGTGAGAGCACATCATCACCTCATGCCATCAGTGATTTACAGGCTTGATTGTGTAATTATTCTGCCTTTCCAAGGTGCAAGATCCTACCCTGAAGAATCTTTACTCAATGAACTGAGAACACTGTAATTAACAAAATATAACAAAGTTCCAACACTGAGAACTAACTGTACGTGAACCAGAGAACTATGTCTGAATACCAGTACATACATTATCCTTAGCATTCTTGAAGGCAACGAATGAGTCCAACTATACTCTGTAGTTTAACGATTACCACCTGAAGTTTCAGGAAGACAGGTAAATTGTGAACCTACTTCTCATCTTAATGTTAGACTGTGATTTAAAGAGCAATTTCCAAACCTAAAAGTAGCTTAGTTAACTTAGTATTGTTATATAGAGTAGTGTGAGGAAAACGAGAACTCCTAAAGGAATTATGGTAAGGTACACATCTGGGAATACCCCAACCAACGTTTTAAATGAAAAAGTGCATAAATACAGTAATACTAGAAGTGTGTTAACTATGAAACAAAATGTTTTTTCTGAGAGTTAAACACTACTACTTCCCCACATTATTTACATGTTACAAATCATTCGGATACCACAAAGCACCATTGACAGCCTCGACTGCTTGATTATGTCTGAAAGGCCCTTTGACTTCAACTCTACTCAGTTGAGGGTCTACCTAGAGTAGAAATGTCAAGTCATCTTCGGTTAAACGGCATTTATCTTTGCGATTCAGTTCTCTCCTATTCAGACACAGTGGAGGAATATTTTCATTTCACACTCTTGGTTGGTGTTTCGGATTCTGTGGACTGTCTCCCATCTGTCCACGCCTCCCGGGTGCTCTTCAGAGCTAGGGTCTTCTGTTGGTCAACCACAACATAATCCACTCTCTCATCTGCTACACTGCTTCCTGAGCCACTGCTCTTTTGCTAAAAAAGAAGCAAATAAAAAATTCAGTCTTAAAACACAGACACATGTGTACTATGCATAACTCTTGAAATTCTATTGGGTCATGAAAAAAATAACATAACCTCAATTTAACAATATCATCTCTCTCCTAACTGTACACTGTTTTTCCTTAAATTTAAAATTATTATATATAAGAATTCAAACTAATGCTCCTACCACAGATGAAATTCTTATAAAGCAGGAATAGCAGATACTTGGTTCATATTAAGACACACTCAACTTGCTTCTCCCTTTAGCCTTTAGTTGAGGCTTAACTTTGTCAAGTCCTGAGAACATGTAGCTTACTTTCAGAGCTAAGAAGTGTTTTTTGAAAAGCAGTATTTCAAGAATGGCAAGTTACATAGGCTGACAGGCCCTCTTACTCCTGAAATACGACTAGATACTAGCTAACTTAAAACAAATATAATCATCAGCGCGTGCTGGGCTCACTAGAAAGTAAGGGAGATACCCAAGGTGAGAGGGGTTAGAAGGAGCAGGGAGCTGCTACGCGGTAAAGGTAGTGCCGTTGGCAGAACCAATGTCAATCTCAGCACTGAGCAGGGAGGCCCTGGGGTGGGGAGGGCGTGCTGGACCCGAGACTGCCCTGTTAAGCGAGGGACCCCTGAAGGGCATGAAGGTGGTTCTAGGGTGGCGGCACTGCCTGCTTCCTAGCAGAAGCAAATGCAAATCCTTTCTGAAGAAAATTTACGTCTGCAGGATTCCCACAGACAAAGTGAATTCGTAATAAAAATGTATATAACATACAAGGCAACAAGCCATCAAGAGTGTGAGTTAGCTAAAACAATAAGTGCAGATTCAGACCTCCAAGGAGTTGAGATGTTGAAATTATTGCATGAACTATATAAAATATATATGTGTAAAAATGTTTAACAAAATTAAAAAATAAAACTAAGTAAAAGGTAAAATAAGAAAGGAATAAGAAGCTATTCAAATCAGCTAAGCATACTTTTTTTAAAAAAAACAAGCAGAACTTCATTTTAGAAATAAAATTAAATTAAAAAATAGAACGAGAAGTTCTAACTAATGTCTAATCAGAAACCTCAAAGAAGAGAATAAAAAGAATAGTGGAAAAGCAATATTTAGAAAGATAATGATGGATTTGCCCAGAATTGATAGAAAATCCGAATCCAGAAATAAAAACAGTACAACTTCTACTAAGCAGGATAAATAAAAAGAAATCTATGCCTAGAAGTCTAGACACATTGTAGTAAGCCTCAGAATACCAAAGATACAGAAAAGATACCATCGACCAGACAGAAAAGACAGATTACCTATAAAGTAATTACAATGAGATTGACAACAAACTTTTCAACAGGAATAATGTGAGCCAGATGATAGCAAACAGTGCCATGAAGTGCTGAGAGAATGAGAGAAACTTACTGTCAATCAAGAATTGTGAACTCAGACTCTTTTCCAAGAATGAAGGCAAAATAGACATTCCAGTTAAGCAAAGCTTCAAGAATTTACCATTAACATACCTCCACTGAAGGAACTTTTGAAGGATGTACTTTAGAAGGGAAAAAAAGGCTTAGAGAAGGAAGGTCTGAGATACAAGAAGGAATAATAAAAAGAGAAGTTGGCAAACATACAAGAATATGTAAATAAACATTGTATAATAAGAATTCTAATACTACTACTGTCTAATTCGGGTTTAACTATAGGAAAAAATGAAAATTTTGGACAAAAATAGCACAAAAGACAGAAGGGGAGTAATTTGAGCTAACACTGGAAAGACAGTGAAGAGGATGATTAACTTTAAAAGTGAAGTAAGCATTTCAATGGTAACCACTAAAAGAATAGAAAGTGTATAACTTCCAAAACATCAGAAAGGAAAAAAAATAATTTATTAGTCTTCATAACTTTGTTACTTGAGATTTATGAAACAGCATTAGGTAATAGACTTTACTAAATTTAAATTAAACATATTCATAAAATTCTCCCAAAGGAGATATAATTCTTCAGGGTTAAAATGTGAGCTAATTGTTTTTCTGGAATGAGGTTTCACTTACCTTACGTGGTGGTGTAGACTTCCCAGAATCTAAATCTAGATCTAGGTATTCCACTTGTTTGTCTCCTTTGGGCTTGATCATCGGGCTGCTTCCTCCATCAAGACTGTTACTGCCAAAAAGATTCTGAAAGTAAAAATACAACAAAATCAACTGCCAAACATTCATGAGACATACTGCGTATCTCCCTTGTCATCTACTAAAGCCTAAATATTTATTTCAAGGGGATATAACTTAAAGAAATGTCTGCTTAGAAAACTAAATAACCTTTTAGGATTGGGGAAAAATAAGTAATGTTTAAAGCACTGATTAAAACTTCATTTAGAGCAAGCAAAACTAGTTTCAAAAGTCAAACTTCGTTCAAACTGAGACTGGGTCACCAAGTCACAGTTAGTTATGACAGCTCAGCCTGAACATTACGAAAATGACATCTGCACTCGATTGCATTTTTAGACGACAGGATCCTTACTCTTCTTGCTTTAAAATTCAATATTTTAAAAAGTTCCATATTTTATTTAAAGACCTTTGTACTGCAATTAGTTTAGAACAAGTATGCTAACTAAGGTATGAATAATGACTCTTTTGGCAAGTATATTTTGTCTCGGCGATCTGGAATTTTTACCACTTCATTTCCTCTGTCTCCTATTGTCCTTACCCCTTCTGTCCTAATAATAATTGTATAATAGAAGAAAGACTCTCTTAAAAAATATAAAGAAAAATGGAAGAGAGTGAACAGCAATTTTTGCTCAGGTCAAGTAGAGTAAGCTGTGACTCAGGGAAAAGACAATTACTAGCAAAATGGTGTTTATTCCCTCATTGGTAAGTAGGGCTGCTGATAGCCCCATTTTCGTGAATTAGAAAAAACATGCTCTTTCCTCTGGCGACACAGCTCTGTGCCAGGGTTCCCGGCTCGCTGGACGGAACCTGGTCTGGACTGCAAGTTCTCACGCATGTAGTGTGTGTGCACTACCTACTGTATGCAGAACGTTTATGTAATAAACGACCTGCACAACTAAATATGATGGCCCTATGTAGGCACAGACTTTTTACTCAATTAATCAACGACTACTAATAAAACATTAAAAAAATATTGATGATAACATGTAGGGCATAAAAAAATGAATGCAGGTTTTGGTGTTCACTTAGTACAAGCTATGATCGCCATGTAGGCACAGACTTTTTACTCAATTAATCAACGACTACTAATAAAACATTAAAAAAATATTGATGATAACATGTAGGGCATAAAAATGAATGCAGGTTTTGGTGTTCACTTAGTACAAGCAGCCATTCCCCTGCTGCCTTTTTTTTGAAGAGACTGAATTTTTTTCTCCGAATGACTCCATATTTCATTCTCACATGAAAAATCAAGCAGGTGCGTGTATGAAAAATTTTTTGTATTTGAATGTGATCAGTAAAAGAACGCATAGCTGGAATTCCCCTCATTGGAAACACCTAGAAGTGTTCGCAGTATTGCAAGGCTATGAAAGGAACCCACGAGTTCATGAGGTTCACATTAAATCTCAATAACTTGGTCCTGAAGAGAATTTCTCAGAATTGCTAGTTAAACTGTTTTCGAATTGTTACTAGAACTGGTAATTTTTTCTTCTCTAAGTATTATTAAAATTTATGTCCCTACAAGGAAGTCTATTTGCTCTTGATCTAATCTCAACTGGGAACAGCCTGTCTCACTGTTCTAGCTAGTGTTTTCTCAAAACAGTTTAGAAAAACCCTAAGATTCTAGGAGTTATGATGAGTCTTCTGTGAAGTAAACAACAAAAAAACCCCAACAAAAACAGAGTAGTGCTTTGTTTTTCTAATATTCTATTAAAATATGTAAAATTATTGAACATATTTTTGTTTTTGTTATGTAAGAATATTTGTCCATACTAATGACGTACTGTCACTCGAATTTCAGAAGTCACATTAAGGGTTCACTTTATGAATGCCTGACTTTGGGTCTTTGTATAAATAAAGAGGAAGCATTCAGTATAAGGTATTTTCTTGGATAGTTTCAAAAAATCAAGTACATCTTAAAAGAAATATAACTGGAAAACTTTTATGACTTTTAACTAATCTATATCTATTGTATAGATATTGATATGAAACTTTGACCCTTCATTGGTTTCAGATGCTCTGATATAATTTTTCAAAAGTATTTAGAAAAGGTGTCTTTTATTCTTTTTCCTCAAGTAGATAAAGAACGATGTAAGGGTAAGATTGACAGACTGGAAGAAAGAGAGAAGATAAAGGCTTTACATACCGAGTCTTCACTCGACAGGTTTGGGTTCATGGGAACGTAATTCTCTTCACTGTCATGCGAGTCACTGCTGGACGTCGTGCTGTGCACTGAGTCCGGCCGGGGCGACAAGGGGAACCTGGAGGAGCTGATTACAGAAATGATCATGGCAAACAAGGAGCCTGGCAAAAATTTCTGAAATCTCTTCCAAAATAAAGAGGAGTGACGGTTTACATTCTTTCAGAAATACTCATTTAAGTTTACAATCATTTATAGTATACATTATTATAATACAATTTATTGTACACATTCAAATGCACAACCAATATTTATAGATGTACCGAAAAAGTATATTTTTGGGCATCAAATTACGTACATAGAACAAAAAAAAGTATTGCTAGTGATTTGGGGGATAAGTAGAAAGTCACAGATATAAAATAAAGATTTAAGAATTCCTATTGAAAAAATCTAGCTATATCTATACATGAAACGTGAACACATAATTCAACACAGGTTTGTAACTTCATGTTAATTTTTCTATATACATTTACATAAATCTTGAGTACATAATCCCCACAAGAAACTATCATGTTTTCCAGATCAGTAGTTCTTAGAAATTTCTAGCCTCATGAACCCTTTACACTCTTAAAAATTATTGAGAACCCCCAGGACCTTTTGTTGATATGGCTTATATCTATTGATATTTACTGTATTACAAATAGTAGAAAAAAATTTTAAACACAAGAGTATACAAATACAACGATATCATCAAATACTATGTGTCTCTGGAAAATTCCAGTGCACATTTATGAGAGAAGAAAAAAGCAAATGGCATTCGTATCTTAATGAAAAAAGTTTTGACTTCAAGAACTCCAAAAAAGGGGGGCTCCCCACACCATCCTTTGGGAACGACTGTTCTAAATACTTTCCATTATAATGAACAATCAAGCAACATATTTGAAACAAAGACTTACTCTCGAGCAAAACTCCTGGTGATGGGAGATCTAACTGGGGCTTGTAATTCTTCCCATTCTGGCAAAGGTTTTATTTCTAAAGGTGCTGGCTTGGCTGAAATAAAAGAGAGAAAAAGAGATTTTAGTACATAGAAATTTGGAAAGCAAACAAGATCCTCTCTATCTCCATTTATATGTTATAGCCAGAACATACTTAAGACCAGCTAGTTTCACAGATAAAACGAACTTCATGGATATTATGTGATTTGCCCAAGGTCTAAATAATTAGACCTAAAAAAACCCACGCAGCTAAATAATTAGTGGCACAAGCTAAATGAGATAATGTTTCATGATTACTGACTTAAAGCCTAAAGCTCTATTACGTGTTGCTTCATAATTTAACCTTTTACAGGTATAAACTAAATATTTTATGAATACAAGCTAAATGAGAATAAGAAAGTAATGAGACCCAATTCCTTTACAGTTACTTGATTTATACTTTTCATTATTTCCTTTTTTTAACTAATTTTATCTTAAAATATGGAGATTTAATCTTCTATGTAAAAATGTTCCAATTTTTTAATATTGAAGCATCAGTTTTACAACTATACATAGAAAATAATGTATAGAAAGTATTAAGTACAAAATTTTGCTACAACCAAAAACCAAAAAAAAGAATTAATGACCAAATCTAAATCAATTCATGCCCAGTCTGGAAACAAATAAAGCAATAATGACATCTTTAGACTCAAATTAAGCTTTGAGACAAGGCCATAATTAAATAATCACCTTGAATTTTTATCTTAATTTAATCAACATTATCCTTTACCAAATTAAGTTAAAATAAATTCTAATGTTCTTATTAGCTTTATAAGTGGTTTTTGCTTATCTACTTCATTATTATAGGAGACAATTACTATGAAAGTACACACCACAGGGCTCTGAGCCTTTCCTTAACATCAAGACTGAAACATTTTTCGGAAATTAATGAAATGAGCAAAGAATATTATTTGTTAATATTAATTATATTTTAGGAGACTATTTAAACATACTAGGTAAATGTTTTAGTTACATTTCATTCTGCCACTCTAAAAAATCTTTTTCATTTTTCCAGTTTCCTTCTTCCAGTCTTTGTCCATATATGTGTACTTTTAATCAACTATGCTGTAATTACCATCAAACTATAAAATAGTTGGTCATTTTAAAGGACTATGGTAATTCACTAGGGCTTACAACTAAGTATTTTTGTCAACTCAAATATAAAAACTCAAAGTGACTTTCTAAAGACAAGACTGATTTAAGTTCAAGTTAAAATAATTTTGCTCATCTATACACATTAAATGGACATGTACAGAATATTGTGCTGACTGAAAGTGTTTCTTTATGTTTAGAGTCTAGCTGTCAAAGTCTAAGTCATGGCATAAAATAATTAATCCATGGAAATTAGTCTGAATTCTCCCAGAACATAATACGTACATTATATATAAATATAGGAGACAACTAAAATTCACAGGCAGCTCACAAGCTTAATGAAAACAATACACTGATGTCTATAGAGTTAAAAGAATAATGCAGAAGGACATGACTGAATATCACATATCAAATATTTAACATGCTGCTGTGAATGGCATAACAAGTAGACTCGCTGTGTATTATGGGAAGCATTCACTTTAGAAATAACGTGCCGGGAAACTTTATTTACAACAGCAAGACTATTTAAGGCTCTTCTGTACTTTTTAAGAAAAAACATCACAAAATAAATTTCCCAAAGCCCCATCCAGCATGCGGTGCTAAAGTACATACCCTTTCTTCTTGTAGCAAAGTCACCTATGGTTTGTGAATCAGTTCGCTCTAAACCATGGGGTTTGGGTCTTAAAATTTTAGGACTTTGACCTAATTGGTAAAAAGAAGACTCTCTTAATGTTATTTTTTAATTGGAAAAGTGGATTCTGTAAAAAAAGCAACAGAGCCTCGAGCAGAAATGTTACATCTCAAAAGCATAAACAAAAGTTTGTTTGCGGAGACCATTTCAATCTTGCTACGTATCATACATGCTTAGTACACGGGAAAGGAGGAAGCTGCATGCAACGATGTGATAAGCAAAGTGTTATAAAAGATGGTAGGGTTTTAGTGGGATCATCCGCTTGGTTAGTTCTTATCTCGATTTGGAGGACAGAGGGAAAACACATGCTATGTTAGTCCTTCCAACATGCCTTAGAAAACTGGATCAAATAAAAAAAAAATTAATTCCTCAATCAGACTGCAAGTACATCTTTTCTTTGAAGTTTGGTGTCTCATAAGAAGGTATCAAGATCCACCTCCTTTCTTAATATTACTTTCTTAATTTAGTAGAGGTATTTTAGAAACCTTAATCTGCCTATTCCTTCACCTCATGACCAGAACGCTTCCAGAGAAAGAGGTGGATGCTACAGTGCTCACTAATCCAGAATCAAAATGAGGAATGTTTGTTTCCTCTGGATACCTACTCAGTGGCTGTCTGGTGAAATCATTTTCACAGATTAGATGTCTAGATTCTGGAACTGCTTGTTACCTAGCTTCAATTTAAGTATTTGAAAGCATAAATTCATTTGTCATCATTTTCTCTTTATTTAATCTCTGGCACATACAAATACTGCTGAAAAACCTCATGAAAAGTAGTGGTGAACACCCAGCAGTGGGCCTTGTACTTTTTCCCATAGGAAGCCTGATGCCAGAGCAGTAACATCATTTGAATAAGTAATTTAAGTTACTCTAATCTCGATGGCACCAAATTTCCTTTTTTCTTGGCAGTTACAAAGCCGCGTTGACATCGATTAGATGGCAAAATAAGAATTTGCTGATATCTAGCATCTTACCTACCGAAATCTAAGTTTCTTAAAAAGTGATTACCTCGATTATAAAATATGAAAATTCTCTAATTAACCCAATCAATATATTGAGTTAATTCAGAAATGAGGCAGCCCTACTTTAAAATGTGAGTGCTAAAATTTTGGGACGTGATCCTCCCCCTAATATTAACCTATCCAGGGCCCAGGCTGTCAGGACACTTTTGTAAAACAAAGGAGGATGTCAGCTTTTAAACTCTCCCAAATAGTGTACTTCCCTTCAAAAAAAGTTAAGAGGCAGAGGGCAAGCTTTACTGTAGGAAAGTACATTTATTTAAAAAGGGGTCACCCCCCCCCCCCCCCGCCCAAATCCATCTTCTTCATTTTATGGATGAGACACCCCTGGAGAACAAAAGAGGTTAGGTGACTGTGCTCAGGTAACAACATTAATCAGAGACTAAATTAAGGCATCCGCTAGGCTCCCCGCCTGCAGGTAGCACTCCTATGCTATCCCGCTTAGCTGAAGCTCTCTAGACCAGTGGAAAATGGAGAATCTTATGAAATCAGTGTAGAGTTCAGTTCTGAACTCCTCAGTTCAGTTCGAGATCTTACATCTACTTGAACACCACAGATGGTGGACACGTGAGTGATGTGATGTGATGTTTAATAACCACAAATTGCTTTTAGATCAACTTCGGGTTTGTCGACACTTCCTCAGTGTGTCTTCCTTCCTCTTCTTTTTCTAAAAGACCCCACTTCCGTTAGCTCTTAGCTTCCATCAGTTTTTTACTATGGTCATCTACCAGTGCTAACTCTGTATCTCAGCTTTTTGCCCTTGGCACCTTATCTATATCTGTGGTTAAATACTCAAGTCAAGTGACTGCTGAATCTACCTAGTTATGATCTAGTTCCATACTTCAGTTGTCTGATAGGTCACCTCCAATTATCCTTCCATCACTTGACACTGAACTCATCTCTCCTCCAAACCAACGCCATCTCTCAAGTACTCTCGAGGTACTCCTTGCTTTTAATAGAAAAATATTGCATTGAGTGAGATTTTCAAGTGCATTTATAAAATTTACAAGTATTTTCTATTCCATCCAAAGCATAAGGTCGATTTTAGAATAAAAGTCACAATGTGGAAACATTGAGCTGAATTGTACTGAGTCCCTGAGGCATTTTGGTAGCTTTATTTCTTGATATCTTTCCATACTCAATTCAACATTTGTGTTCTGGACAGAAATCAAAGTCATACTCAAATGGTAGCTGAGTATTACTTGTGAGGAGAAAAAGGGAAAAAAGAAGTCTAAGGTGTAAGTACGTTTGTCTTAGCTGTCTTCTCTACTGCCTGTAGGCAAATACTAGAGTGTTTTTCTGATTGTTAAAGAAAAATGTGAAAAGAGTAAGAAATAATACTAAAGTAAAGGCAAAAATGAACCAACCTTGGAGATATACTGATTCTCAAATTCTGAGAGGAAACAAAGGAACTCATTTGCACCTCGCCTTTTAAATCCAAGGCAGTTACAACTTGGCTTTAGTTAGACTAGGTTTCAACGAAGAAAGCAACTTTTTTTTTTTTTTCATTTAGCAAAGAACACTGACTATTGGTGAAATTCCTATTGTGCTTTAACCCTTAAGGGTTAAAACTATCTCGTCCAGGACTGTCAATCTGGATCATGTGATCGACTCCTTAATTTGGAGTACAGTTTGACAAATCTTAATCTCTGGTTCAGATCTTTCCCCTGAAGACCTAATCTACATATCTACAAAACCACCCACAAGGATGTTTTACAGACGTTCGCACTACATGTTCAAAACGGAATCCATCTTCTTGGGCTCACCACAAAGCTGCTCTACTTTCTATACTACCAGTTCCCATAGCAGATCTCTTAGGAGTCATTTTAGATTCCACTTTCTTTCTCGTCTCCCTCTATCAATTTTACTGTATATTTATGACATTATAATAGTTTGTTTTCATTCACCCAAGAAAATAAAAAATCCTCAAGTATGACGTCCTTCCTTCCTCCCTTGAGTAACATGCACTTCACGTACCTGGTTTTTCTGGAAGTGGTGAGCTCACACTGTATCACTAAATGACTTCCACCTATACTCCCAAGTGCTCTCGAAAGTTCCAAAAATCACTGTGAGTCCCTGAGTTGAGGGGGCAACTGAGAGCCAGGAAAAGGACTCTTATAATGCCTTTTCTGTTTGATGGTTTCTAAACCAAGGCTCTAAGAACCCTAGATATGGAAAACTGGGCAAAGGGCTCTCGGAGGAAGGTGCTCAAAAAAGTGTGTGTGTTTTTTTTTTTAACATTTTGCATTTAAAAATACAATTGTTTTCTATCACATCCTTAAATCTTAGAATGAGCTTTCTAGAGGCCAACCTGATAACAGTACCTGCCTACATGAAAACCTTTTAAGAGTGTACTAAAATAAAGCCCAAGCTCATTAGCGTGGATCATAATCCCCTCAAGATCAGGCACCTGTAAGGCATGTGGCATTCGCTCCTCCATGCATACCTCCCTCCCTCCCACCCACGACTCTGAGCCCACCCCACATCCCCTCTTTTTAAAGGATCTGGGTATGCTGTTTATTCTGACTAGAAGTTCCTCTGCCATCCACTCCTCCTCTACCACTATTTAAATGCCACTCACCGACTCAGACTTTCCTCAGGGGAGCTTAGCTAATGATGCCAAGAGCTTACCTCAACCACAGCCCATTCTGTGCTAATTATGATAATGTGTTTACTTTTCTACCTCCTCCACTAGACAGTGTAGCCACCTTTTCTTCCTTGTGTTTGGAGACACAAGACCTACCAGAGGATATATCCCGTAATTGGTAGGCACTTAAATCTGTGATGAACTGCAGTTCTCTTAAAGCTGGTGGTGTTTAATCTGATCAATGTCATAATTTTTTGTTTGTCCTTGAAGAGGAAAAAAAGAGCACCTGAATGTTGTTTCAAAAGTCAGTCATCCCAAAGATGGTCAAGGCAGGCATACGAGGTTGTTTCAAACAGGCAGATGCAGTTCTTTTTGAAAAGCCCATATGCTATGAATTATTATTTTAATAGGTACTGCCTACACATTTAACTCAAAGTGGAAAATTTACTTTCCATATTATTATAGGTTTAACTTAGCCTAAATTATTTATTCTTCTGAAGTTTTACTACCATTTGATACCACTTCCAGCTAGAGTATGTTCCCATTTCCATAGGCATCTCGAAATTCAAGAAAGAAGAAAAAGAATTCACAACATTACTATCCTCTGCTAATTCTAAAAGCTCATCAAGGTAGCATACTGAAAAACTTTCACACTTGTTTTAAAGGTCTCATTGTATACAGAAGAATACAGTAATTCTAATTATTATTGGAAGATCAAAGAATATTTAGGAAAAAAAGAAAACTCACAAACAAAGGCTATGCTGTAAAAATGCACCCCATATTCACGTCCTTTAAACTGTTACACCAAACCAAAAATCCCACTTGAGATTCAAACTTTAACGCTTATTTGTTAAAATCTACTTATATTTACTGATATCAATCATCCATCTTCTAAATATTTATTATAGTAAAAAAAATCATTTTAAGAAAGCACATTCAAAAATTTCTTTAGAAGAGCTCTCTAAAAAATGTTTAGAGCAATTAATAACACTGTCTCCAAAAAAGACCCACTGAGGGAAGTTCCTCACGCTTGATCTTCTGGATGCTTCTCACACTGAAGTGAAGACCCAGAAATTGAAGACACTTTAACGAAACTAATGTACAAAAACACCAGCAGTAACCTTGCACTGCATTTTAAAAATCAATACTAAGTAGAGGCCAGAAGGACTGCAGAAGGCCATGAATGGACAAAGCCAAACAAGACAAAATATAAAGACAGCATTCAAGGCTCAAACAGCTGCTACATCATGTTAGAAGGTGACTGGGCGGGGGAAGGGGGTCTAGCTAAGTTTGGTGATTAAATATGGTAGATTTATGTAATGACTGACTCTAAGAGAAGCCATGACATATATCTTACAGAAATTTCCCAAACTTTACAAAATTGCTTCTCCATTAAAATAGAGAAGTTTCAATGAAAGCAATCAAAATGCAATTTGTGCTGAATTTCCAATGACTCATCTGTTTTCCTAATATTTAATATAACACATGTATGTTTTTCTCCTCTAGTCGTATACACATAACTTGGTTCAAAACAAATACTATCATTACAGAAATAGTGTGGGTGAAAATATAGCCACCACAAGTTGGGTGATGGACAAAGGATCCATGAAAATACAGTAAACATAAGTGTTTAAAATATCTACGTATTTCTGCAGCTTCAATTACTCAGAAGTATTTAAAAAACTCATCTGTACTACTAACTACAGCAGCTGACATCTATAATTGGGGGTAAAAACAAGACTAGAATGTCACTCATTTACTGCAGACCCTTCCAAGGAATACACTCCAGAGACTGGCTCTCCGGGATGCTGAACTAGTTATCCTGGGCTCTGAAACAAATCAAGCCATACTTGATAGAATCAGGTTTGCTTATATGAGGTTTAGTTAATAAGGGATTCCAGAATATCAGACTGAGTCATGTATCCGATGTCACGAAATAAGAAATTTAAAAGACTCAACTGATGCTACGCATAATGAGAAGACTTTCATGACCAAATAAGACATTGGTTTTACAGTTTAAGTTTTTAAGGATAAACTTTGATTCAAGATTTGAATTTGGGTTTTCAAATGTGTTCTTCTTCAATAGTTATAACTTTCTAAAGTGGGTTGTCAAAATTTTCCCTGTAATATTACTTTCTCATGCCTCCTCTCTCACATCGTATTTACTGGAAAAGTAGAATAGTATTAAAGAAAAGTCAAAACGTTTTTTTTCTTATTGCTATGATTTTAGTAACCTCTTTACTGTTTTGCTAAACCCGTTCTCTGTGATTTTGCCAAAAACTATGCGCTTATTTTATTCTGGGTGCTTTCTCGGTTCACTTTGTATCCAAAAGAGATACCAAATAAATAATCTGGCCAATGAATTCAGGACTGTCTCTCTTCCTACTCTGTTCTGTACTACTGTAAAGTTACTTTAGGGCAGTTACACAATCTCTTATGTACTAGAATGTATAGAACTTTCACTATACACATAGGGAGGTATAATCATACATATATGTAATATAAATGACATTTGATATACATGCCGTATTATTATGATATATACATATTATGATATGGGGTACATGAGCTCTGTCAGACCTAGATGACACTAAAAGCATATCATTACGATCTTTAAATTTTTTTAACATATAAATAAAGATCTTTTCTGATTCTGCGCTTACCACATAGAATCATTAACTGTGAAATATACTAGGGATTTCCAAAAAGCCTAAAGGGGAGAAGGAGCCAGCAGGGAAGCAAGGTATGTAGACTCAGAGCATGTACCCTTACTCAAATCATAGGACCTCCCCATTTATGGGGGACTTTAGGTTATAAAACTGTTACACTTGAGTTAAAAAGTAGAGATTTGTTGAGAACATGCCGTAATTACAGAAAAATAAGAAAAGAACCAGGTTAGCTTTAAAATGAATATTTCAATATTCATGATGCTTGCATCTTAATCCTTCAGCTATCTGTGAACTCGATTACAAATCTATACCTGTCCAAACATACTTTCACATATTGTATGTAAAGAAGAAAATGACTAATAATGTCTAAATAGATTGAAAGACAAATGGGGACAAAGAGTTAACAGAGTAAAATTTTCCAAATAAAAAGCCAGTGATGCTCAAACCCTTTCTAAGATAATTATCCTGAATACAGCCCTGCTGTTGGGGCTGTCTGGGTGGCCGTGGATGTCACACATGACCATCTTTCCAGCTGTTGGACCAAAAGCGGGCACTTGACCCAACAGCAGCCAATCTAGGGGCTGGCCTACGAACCATCATGTGGTCTGGTGTGAAAAGGCAAATGAGACAAATCGAATTCTCTCTGAGCAATCTGAGGTAGTAAATAGTGAATGAGGCAATTAACAGGCAAGGGCATGTAAAAAGGAGCCATGAGTGAGGCCACAGAGGGGCATTGTCCCCAAGGCTCTGGGAAAGCAGAAGCCAGGTAAAGGAGAGCAAGCAGAGCAGAAGAAAACAAGAGACTGTGAGAGAGAACACAGCAGATGCAAAGGCTTCCAACATGCACGGAGCAGGACAAAGTGACAGTCCCCTACGAGTGCTTCAGTTCCCAATCACTTTCTTCTTTCAGCATAGAGGTGTCCTTACTTAAAAGCAAAACGAAACAAAACTAATTTTCTTAAGATACTCTGAGTGAATCTGTCTGTTCTCCACAGCTGGAACTTAATTAGAATTAATGTTAATGATCTAAGCTCAGGTTAATGAGAAATTTACAGAAACATTACATGCTCTTAAAAAGCTATATACAAAAAGAAAAGCTATATATAGTACATGAGATTTTTCAAATGTGCCGAATACCCTAGAAATCATGTCACTCATCGCACAGCCGATATACTAACTTATTTGGTTGTCAAGATTAAATCACACTAAGAATGTTGCAACACACCTAGCTGTTTGGGTTTTAACCACTCAAACCCAAATTTTTACAACTTGGGTATGTATCACCAATTTGGCTGAAAATTCTCTTTTACAATGAGTTCTTAACCAACCATGCTACCTTAAAATTTAATGTTACTTATGAAGGCCGGTATGAAAGAATCAACTACAAGCATTTACTTATAACCCAGCAAAGAAAGAAACATCTTTAAGAAGCTGTTATATGGGCAGAATGGAAAGATTATACAAGCCACCTCACTGTTCCTCAAGAGCAATGTTAGGTGTAATAATCTCAAGTCTGCCTTAGTATTATGTACTCCAGAGAAGAGGTTACAGCATTGAGCCAGAGACCCTATCTAGTTTATGGAAGTGTTTCCTTTGGTCTGCAAGGTTTTGTTTTGTTTTGTTTTGTTTTTTAAATTAGTTAAATTAGCTGACAGAACTTAAAAATCAAAAGATAATACACACGAGATCTGAAATTTCTGGCTCCTTTTGATACACGGGTCCGTATTATTTTCACAAGTCAACAAAGGACACTGGTCAAGGAGCAGTTAATTACTCCGTTTAGACACGGGACACGGCATTCTGGTTTCTGCCAATTCTCTCCTGCTGCCTGCCAATCCTTGTATTTTAGTTTGTAACCTCTGCTCTAGAGATAGGAGACTTAAAAATCTCACCTGAGCATCAACATATGATGTAATAATTAATCTATGAATGGCAATGCCACTTAAAAAGTTAACAACTAAGGTGATATGAAATACTTTAGAATTTCTAGTCCCAATTTTGTTTTGGATTTAATGACAGTTAAATGTAGATGTAAACTGGCGACCCTGACCCTTTTCCTATGCCATGCTCTCCTTACCTTTTCTGTCTGGCTTGAGGTTCCTATCCACCGGGGGCGGTTCACAGTCTGCGACAGGAACTGGCCTTCTGGGAGGGGTCTTCGGGCTGGACCTGAAGCCCATATGAGCAGGAGGAGGAACCTGCATTCCAAATGAAGAGAAATCGAAGGTCCCTGGGGTCATTGGCACGTAATTGGCTTCCTGAATTGGTTCCGTAAAACTGCTGGAATGTTGTCGCGGCGGAGAGTTGGGATTCATCGGGACGTAATTTTCATCCAGTTCTTCACTCGATACACTTCCTACTGTCAACACGTTTTTTATTTTCTAAAACACACACATATCTCTTTTAATAAGCAGCGATTGTCAAACAGGAAAACTTAATTATGGCACACCTACTCATATGAATCTGAAAGGGATTTTATTTCATGATCTCATTTCATCTCAGGGAACTAAGCGTGAAGATTTTGACAATGAAATATTCAATCATGTCGAGGTCAATTATACTTACAAAGTGGTTATGGAAGCCTTCAAGTGAACTACATCTAGCACTTGGAAATGTTCGTGGAATATCATAGCAGTCTTGAGAATGAGCATCTAAAATAAAACACAAACTATCAACATTTCTTCCCGTCTTTGCCAGTTCTTGGGGGTAATCAGGAATGGCCTCTTCTCTCTCTCATTCTCTCTCTCATTCTCTCTCTCTCTCTCTCTCTCAACACACACACACAGGCAAGCATGCACACAGAGATTTTAAAAAGGATACTCACAGAATAGCATCCTGAATTGGCACATTAAACTACTAGAGAATGCAGACTCTCACTCATATGCTAATCACTACCAATACTTGATCATGACAGTGAGTGAACGCTGAAGCCTAGGATGAGATGGGTTATCTAAAAATGGAGAAAAGATACACTTCTATTTTCATATCTTTTGTACCATCTTGGATCTAACTTGTATCTCACTAACTTATAACCAGATTATACGAATACTTCAAGAAGGGAGTTATAAATTGGTATTGAATGGCTAAATAAGTACTGTTATAAGGACTATCCACGACACACTAAATTTTCTTTAAGTCAGCTGAATAACTCTACCTCAAAACAGAGAAACGCTAGCACATTGTTTTTAGGTTGTGTGCATTTTACACTTTGGTTTTCTATTTTTAGAACTTTAAGAGTCTGACTATAACCCAGACTCAAGTTTTCTCCTTTCAAGGTGTGTAACTTTTCTCAAGCTCTAGGAGACAATGTAGGGATAAGCGAAGTATCTAGAAATATGGGGGGTAGGGCGAAGATTCAGAGCTTTAAAAACAAGTAACACTGAACAAACAAAATGAATGACTCGACTGGAACTGATTATCACCTGTCAGACACAACATGTAAGTTGCTTATCTAGGAAGGAAGGAAATGGAGCCTAATAGATGTGACACAGAAGGGGCCATAATGGCACACAAATACAGGAAAGAGTATGACTCGGAGAGGCTTTGTGGCTGGCCCATTTCCTGCTCCTCTGCCCCATTAGAGGGTCTACCCACCCAGGATGCAGACAGAGGGGGAGAGAGGGCTGCATGCTTCCAGAGGCAGGAGGGTATTACGAGGGCCACGCTTCACCAGGGAGGACCAACTCCAACTCTTTCTCCCTCCCAGCAGAACACGCACGCAGGCACACGCCTCATGCACAAACATCCTCCCAGGAATCTACTGAGACTATGATATCTTCACTGCATGAGCGGTAACTGCAGGGCTGGAGAAACAAAGGACTATCCTTTAACCTCATCCCATGCTTAAAAGAACAAATATTCAGAAAAACAGACTTTCTAGCATGAACCTCTATTAGAGTAGAAGCTAAGGAGAGCTGACCTTTCCGCAGTTTGTTTAAATCCACAGTGGAAATGGTATTACTGCGTGAGGGCGGCACCCCTGCGGAAGGGGTACAGTAACTGCCGTCAGTGTCTGAGGCCGTGCGTGTGATGCCACACGTTTCCACAGGAGATCGGTCGTGAGCTGGATGTGGTTTCGGAGGCCGCGGTGGCGGGATATCTGGAATAGTGTCTAGCTTTGACGTCTGTCCCAAGGTTCCTTCGGGAAATGTCCGTGGAATCTGATAAGTATTACTAGGTGTTGGAGGAATGTCATAACTAATAGATATATGCCTCATCTGAGTCTCTACACTCGATGTCCCAGATGGGGTATTGAAAACGTAGAGTTCTCCATCTGCTTCGGTACCCGATGGAGATACCTTTGGTAAAACATCCTGGGAATAACTCCTGGGCAGGTTATAAAGACTGGAGTCTACAGAAACAGACGCAGCGCGAGACGGCAGAGAGTCATACATCATCTGCTGCTGGAAGAAGCCGTTCACTGCGTGTTTGCTCTGGGAGGAAGCGGGATTTTTATGAGAAGGGACGTTATCATTGCAGTCTGTTTCAGAAGAGGTGGCTTTTGTAGAATCGGCGTGTGCTCTAAATAAAAATTGTTAATGACAGAAAATAAAACATAGTGAAGACATAAGACTACATTTAAGGAAATATATCTATAGCTTAGCAATCAAAATCCATGGCTTTTTCCGTTAGATTTTTTTTGTGTGTGACCCATAAAATTTAAAGCACGAATGTTCCTCGTTTTTATGATTATACACCAGATAACAAAACCGCCACCACAAAACCACCAAAAGCATTCTCCCTAATTCCTGTCCTGGACTTGCCCACACCCCCTACTCTGCCATTTAGATCCACACATAAAACCACAATCCCTAAAGTACTGGAATTAGAAAGGTACAAAACTCAGAGAAAGGGAAATGATTAAGGAATAGAAACCCAGAAAGGCATT